AGTTTGGCTGTTTGGGCTGCCAGGATAAAGGGGCCCAGGACAGGATTTGGAAGACAATAAGCACAGGAAGTGCTGTCCTTCCATGGGGGCTGGGCTTTTGGCTTGCAAGTCTCCCACTTCCTTTGGGGACACTTCCCCAATCTAGCAACACTTCTGGTCAGAGGATTTCCTGGTGCTTGCCCCAAACTTCCCTCTTCAATTGGATTCCATTTCTTCTTGAGTTTCATGGGGCTAACCATTTCTTTCTGTGCAGTGGTAATGTGACTTTGAGTTTTTATTCACAAAGTTAATCTTGAGAAAATTTCATCTTCAGACATAAACACAGGTCCTGGGCCACAGGGCTTCTGTCTCTGGTGTGGCTGTGCCTCGTCTGGGCTTTTACAGATCCAACTTCAGAGCATTTTTGGTGAGGGTGGGACTGAAAATAAAACTCACACTTGGAGATGGGACTGATACTGCCCTGTGATAGCACCCTGACCTGCTTGTCCTCTGCACAAGGCAGGGGACAGCCCTTCAGCAGTTTTTCTTTTCTTTTTTTTTTTTTTTTCCAAGACAGGGTTTCTCTGTGGCTTTGGAGCCTGTCCTGGAACTAGCTTTTGTAGAACAGGCTGGCCTCAAACTCGAGATCCACCTGCCTCTGCTTCCTGAGTGCTGGGATTAAAGGTGTGAGCCACCACCGCCCGGCTAGGATTTAGTTTTGTACAAATGAATTCAGGCCATCTATGGTCAAGACCTTTGGGTCAAGGAGATGGACAGAAAATGTGGCCAAGACAGATTTTGGCCAAGTCTGGGCTGGCCACAGTGATGTCCTAAGCTCAGTTAGGAAGGGTAGCCAGCCCAGTCAGGCCCTATGAGGAAGCTGGAGAAGAGCCGTCACTGGGGAGGCTTCTGTGACTGCAGCCCTGCCTTGAGGGTACCAGCTGATGGAACAGAGATGAAGCTTCCCAATGCAGCCCAGAATGGACTGTCTGTGTGCAGAGGGCTGGATATTTTGTTTGTAGAGGATCAGTAGCTTACTTATTACTTTGACAAGTTTTGGATTCCTTAGTACAAAATAAGCAAGGTCTACAGTGTGGTTCAAAAGCCTGACAGGAAAAATGAGACCTGCGGGAGAAGAGGAAGGCCAGAGGCTCCCCGGGAGGCGGGTCTCCCCTGCAGGCAGCCAGGGCCTGCTCCAAGGTGAGGTCTGGACAGAGCACCAGCACAGGAGCAGTCACCAACAGGTGGCAGGCCGGAGGATGCCAGAGGGACAACTACGGGTTCCTCCAGTGTCTCTCACTGCTTTCCTTCCCCAATGCTTGTTTAAGTGTGAGAAACTGACCCAGGCATTCCCATGTATTCCTCCAGTAAAAGTATGAATTTTTTGTTTTCTTTTGAGGCAAGGTCTCATGCCATGTAGCTCAGGCTGACCTCAAACTTGCTATGTGGCTGAGGATGCCCTTAAATTCCTGATTCTCTTGCCTTACTTCTCAAGTGCTGGAGTTACAGGTGTAAAACACCATGCCCAGCTCATAAATATGGAATTTGGATTTCATAAAGGTTAGTAAAAAATTATTTCTATGTAAAATGTTAGGTTCATCTCCATCACCTACAGACATAATAAATCATATATATTTTTGAAAAATGAACATGGTGAATTTAAATCATTCAATCAGCAAATTCATGCACTGTCCATATGAATGTGTGTGTGTGTATATATATGTATATATATATATATATGTAAATGTGTCCATCTGATTTTTAGTATTTACTCATTTAATTTCGTGTCTTTTTGAGAAAATCTGACAGTGCTTGGATTGAACCCAAGTTTTTCTGCATGCCGGGCAACTACTATTCTCCTGAGCTACAGTCAATTCCCTGGGTCTCTATTTTTTTTAAAGATGTAATACACTTGCGCCTTTTCTAAAAGTCGAGGGAGCAGATTTCAACCCCACGTCTGTCACGTCACTAGTGAGACACAGCAACAATGTTAGTCTTGTTGCTTCCACACTCACAGTGTGACCTCAGCGAACCCAGACCATTTTGCATTCCTGTATCGTAACCAGAAACAGTGCATTTGGTTCAGGGACGGGAGTATGGTTTTTATGGAGATCCCTAACTGGATTCTCTGGGATTCTGTAAATGTGCATCCTCACCCAGAAACCCCCAGAGTCTAGAGTGGGTGACTTGCAGCTGTGTCTGCCATCATCTGTCATGCTCCACTCCAGATCAGAGGTAAGTTGAACAGAGACCAGAGGAGGGGGTGGTGTAGAGAGCTTGCTAGAATGTACTCATGGCATGGCTTGTCCTTTGCCCATTGATGTGGACTCTGAATCTAGAGCACCTACAAAGGTGACAGCAAGTTCTATGACCTCCATGTCATTTCATTTAACATCTGTGCACATGTATGTACAAGTGTGCAGCCATAGGGGAGAATATATGCATGTACAGTCAGTGTCCAAGTAGACTCCTTGTACACAAGTGCATGCACAGCTACACCCACACACACATGCACACATGCATACACACACGCGTGTACACGCACACACACAGAGGCAGTGTCCCAGCAGACTCATACACAAGCACATGCACCCCTGCACTTCCACACACATGCCCACATACCTTTGCAAGCCTTACAAGGACGTTTTCAGCTACCAGAGCATTCTGATTGAGAAGTTAAGTGCTGGAGAAACGATACACCTCAGCCAGCAGGAAACCGAAGAAAGGAAGGGTTTCCTAAGAGGCATTATCTTACAGAAGGTACCAGACACTGTCTTTTTGGGACATCAGGGTTCATGGTGGCCACCGAGTCAGAGGGCAGGCATCAGTCTGATGCACCATGGACAGAATGTAGCTATTGACGGCTGAGGGTTTGTTATTCACCCTGAAGCAGGACTTTCCACGCTGTCCCCCGCCTTTCTCCACAGGACATACTCAGCAAACTATGACCCACCTTCCCAAGCACCTACCTGAGCACCTACACCCACTGGAAACCTCTAACGTCAGTCTCCGTGTTCTGGTCCAGCATCAACCACTGTTTCATCTTCCTCCCATAAAGACCAAACGGCAGGAGACACATTTCAGCAATAGACACTGCTTTCTGTCCCCTGTGAAGCAGTCTAAGTTCTTCAAGTCTCTGTCTCATGCTTCCTGTCTTGGCTAACTACCAACCACCAGCTGTTCCTTCTGCAGAGGGAAAAGCTACCATGGTGGGATCCTTGTGGTGTGTCCCTCACGGAGATGGGCAACAGTGAGGGCCGTGTGTGAGCAATGGCCTTGAAATTCTTAGGCCATGGTGACTGCTGACTTCCACAGTATGAGAAAGTCAGCTGTGTGCTCTAACTCACTGCCAAAGCAGCAGCTCAGATGAAGGTTCCAGGGCAGAGTACAAGGCCACCAAAGAGCTGTATGGCTGGCGGTTTTATACCAGGGGAACAGAAACTGGCACCTTGTGAAGTCAGCGCTGAGAACCACAGCTCAGACCAACAATCCTCAGAGTCTATTTATGCGTCTTCTGATTTCATTTAAACCCTGACAGTGTTCGCTGAGATGAAGGAGGGTTAGTGAAGGCTCTGTGTCTCGGCTGGGGCTGGGGCAGGCAGGAGAGGCTAAGGAGAAACTTGATAGGAGGGTCAACACTCCACACATTCAAGCTGGAATTGGGCCATGGGGACCAGTAAGAAAGCACTCCTGTTTGGAAGCCAAGGTTGCTCTGGTCATATTAATAAGACTGATGTCATCACAGGTAGCAGGTCCCTGACACCCTTTTCTGGGTTATCAATTCTATGAGTTCCTTACAGTGCAGACACAGGCTAGCTTCAGACTTGCTATGTAGCTAAGGCTGATCTTGAACTTCTGACCTTGCAGCTGTGTGCTACCACACTCAAACCCTGTGCGTGCCAGCCAAGCACGCCACCACCTGAGCTACATCCTCAGTCCCCTACAGAGTCCTTAACGCTTCTGCGTGGTAAATGGCATTTCGAAGAACAGAAGTTCCACTGTGTGGACCAATTTCACAAAGTAATTCTCTTCTTGGAGGCACGTGCTGCAGTTTACTGTCTCATTATATAGTAATTCTCAAGGCAGGCAACCCCAAACGGTCTGAGAAATAGTAACAATGTTTTCAGTTATTCTGAGTCCAGAATATCCCACAGTATAAACTACAAAGTTCTCAGGGCCAGCCAGATGGCTCAGTAGGCAAAGGTGCTGCCATTAGGTCTAATGACCTGAGTTCAATCAACCCTGGGAACCACAGGGCAGGAGGAGGTGCCTGATTCCTACAAGTTGTCCTCTCACAGACTGACTCACCCTCTCTCTATCTCCCCCCCCCCCCACACACACTAATTTAAAAGAGCCTTTCCTCGGCATTCTGCTTGTGACTGGGAAGTCGTGAAGAAGCTCTAGTCCCCAGCCTGTATGTCTCTAGCAGAAGCCACGGAGGAAGATTTCCAGGCTCTGTTTGAAGGTTGATCTGAAAAGGATCCCATCTCCAAGCAAGGAAGGCTCTGACCCTGCGATTCTACACTGCATGGCGGTGGCAAGATGGATGTCTTAATACAAGCAACTTGTGTTCTTGTGGTAGGATTTGTTGTTGATGAACACACAGAGCAAAGGGGTCTTCCCAGGGGCAGTTGTACACAGGTCCAAGAGCACAGGGCACACTCACGCTGCACCCCTACCCCGCCCATACTTACCCCATCCGTGGAGGCAGCAGACATCAGCAGTGAAGAAATACTTCTCTCCAACAGCTGCAGTGACAGGGAAGAAGGGCTCAGTGACACCCCAGCAGGGGGCAAGCACTCACCCAAGGTGCTCCTGTCTGAGGATAACACTGAATCTAAGCTGTCTGCAAACAAACACTACATAGAGAAACTGTGGTAGGTGACCCCACTTCTCCTTCCCACGAACTGAAGGCAGCTCTTACCACATCTCCTTCTTGGCACATAGAGTTTGCCACAAGGCAAAGAAAAGAACACACATGTACCCTGTTCCAGTCTCAAGTAGACACACGAAATCAAGCATGAGCTCTAGGTCCCTTTTCCTACCTTGACCTTTACAGTACTCTTGGGTCTTGTGGGACAGTCCAGAAAGACGTGCAGGCTCCTCTTTTGAAGCGGCGACACAACCAGTCGAGAACAGTCCCCACAGAAGAGGCCTCTAGCGTGTGAGGGGACATGGGAGTACAAGTAACAAGGAGGGGGGGGGGACACATCAGAAGAGTCTTACAGCAAAGAGATTCCTCTAAAGATAGGTGTTTAGTGACCCACTAATTCTACAGTCAGAATTAAATTACTGGAACCAGACAAAAGCAGTCAAGGACTGGACTATTCTGATGGATTAACAGTTGGGAGCTGCTAAGGGGACCCTTGGGTACACAACGAGGCCTTTATTCATGAGGAATATGGGGGGAACGCAGCCTTCCAGAAAGTGAAGGGCTCACCCCTCCAGCAGGGCAAACTTGCTCATCAACCCTGGCCTCTTCACTCCCACACTGATTTCACATGAACCCACGCTGCCTTGCTTCTTTGAAATAAGGCAGAAGTGTCTTGTGTACACACAAGGCCAACAACCAAGGAGGCATCAATAAGATGTATGCTCTTTGTCTCTTTTAAAATTATTTTATGTATATGGATGCTTGGCCTGAATGTATTCTGTCCACCACGTACACTCCTGGCACCTGAAGAGCCAGAAAAGAACATTAGAGCCCCTGGAACTAGTCACAGACGGCTGTGAGCTGCTGGGAACGCAGCCTGGTCCTCTGGAGGGCAGCCCACGCTCTCAATTGCTGAGCGACTCTCAGTCCCACTCTTGGCTTCTAGGAAACAGACAAGTGATGAGGACACTCTTTGTGATGTGACACAGTCCACCGGGAGGCAGAGACAAAAACAGTACTGACAGGTGTGCTGGCTAGCTGTAGGACAGCACAGCACAGACCAGTTTTCTGAGAGGAAGGAGCCTCAGTTGAGAAAATGCCTTCCAAGACTGGGCTGCAGGCAGAAGGGCATTTTCTCAATTGGTGATTGATGGGGAGGGCCCAGTTCATTGCTCGTTGTGCCACCCCTGAGCTGATGGTCCTGGGTTCTATAAGAAAGCAGGCTGAGCAAGCCATGGGGAGCAAGCCCATAAGCATCAGTTCCCTGCACTCGAGGTTCCTGCCCTGTTTGAATTCCTGTCCTGAATTCCTTCAGTGATGGACTACAATATGTAAGCCAAACAAACCCTTTCCTTTTCAGCCTGTTTTTGGTCATGGTATAATCATAGCACAGAAACCATAGCCAAGAAAAATAGTTAGCCTTGACCCCAGCCCAGAAGGGTAATAAAAATGGGCAGAAGAGAGATGTCTATTGACAGACGATGCTCACAGTCCTCTGGGAAAAGTCTGCAAACATGCCATGCAGCTGCTGTGTCCCCAGGAAAGTCTGCAGGACTCCTAGGACATGCCGTGTAGCTGCTGTATCCCCGAGAAAGTCTGCAGGACTTCTAGGGGACATGCCGTGCAGCTGCTGTGTCCCCGGGAAAGTCTGCAGGACTCCTAGGACATGCCATGCAGCTGCTGTGTCCCCGGGAAAGTCTGCAGGACTCCTAGGACATGCCGTGCAGCTGCTGTGTCCCCGGGGAAGTCTGCAGGACTCCTAGGACATGCCATGCAGCCTGTCTTACCTGTTCACACTTGTACTTCTTTCCTCTCCTAATAATGAAGGAGCTAAGCACAAAGCTCAGTTCTACACTTTTAAGGACAGGAAGAGCTGCAAATACAGTGGAAAACCCGCAAAAAGACACCACAGTCTCTATCCTGAAGTCCAGCAGAGTAGGTTCCTTTCTGTGCATGGGGAACCCATGTGTAGGAAAGAAGGTCGCAGGACCCTGGGGATGGGCTACTGCAGTGTTCTTTGGGCCCCAGGGGTTTCAGGCAGCCTTACCCATCTTCTGGCTTCTGTTCCAATCTCCCATTGCCACACTGGTCACACACAGGCCACAGAAAAGCAGTGTTCTCATCTACATCAACCACAGCACCTAGGAGAAGAAAGGCTGGAGTCACCACTCACCCACCTCCTCGCCTCTGGAATCGCCTGTCTTAGCTCTACTTCTTACTAGTTTGTTAGTTCCTTCCTTTGTGATTTTCCTGTTTCCTTGCTGACTGTGACTAAGAACATATGCAGTCACAGGGCTGGGGAGACGGCTCACTGTGCAAACACGAAGAACTAAGGTCCAGTCTCCAGCACCCAGATAGTCAGCACATTCTATGCTGTCTGCACCAGATCCTTCACCCTGAGAGCCAGACTTTGTCTCGCGTTATCAAAACCTATTTACAGACCACCGCTGAGGATCTATCCTATCTAAAGACTATCACCGCTTCTTGCAAAATTTGTCAAACTTCTAATCCTACTTCCGGGCATTGGAGTCTCTCTTCCCCCACTCACTGAGCCAGGGGCTCTCTCCCTGGATGAGACTGGCGGCTTGACTTCACCCACATACCCACAGTTCAGACATTTCAGATACCTGTCAGTCATGGTGGACACATTCTCAGGGTGGGTAGAAGCTTTTCCCACCACTGATAGAAGATCACCGACAGTTTCCAATCTCCTTTTTAGGGAGATCGTCCCCTGTGTCAGAGTTCCAACCTCTCAGATCTCGCAAACTGTAGCCAAAGCCCTCAACATCCCATGGTGATTCCATATTCCCAGTCTGCAGGCAAAGGTGAACGAACTGACCGTTCTCTCAAAAATATCCTTATCAAACTCTCCCAAGAACTTCATTCAGATTAGATAAAACTCAAAGAAGCCCCTCCTCGTCTCTTCTTTTGAGTTCATATATGGATGACTGATTATGCCTCCTGGTCTCCTGTCTCAGCATCACCTCTCCCTGATCACCTTCTCATCCCCTTGTCACACTGTCTTAGCTCACTTCTTTGGAACTCCACCCACCATCACTGCCTCAGCTCCTCCCTTCTCTCTTCAGTTAACATCGGGGACTTAGTTCGCCTCTCTCCTCCAGGTCACAATCCCCCTCTTCTTTCTCCAGAATGGACAGGCCCTTTCAGGGTCATCTTTACCACCCCAACTGCACTAAGATCAAGGGTTTCCCTCGCTGGATTAATCTCTCTCGTCTCAAACCTTTATACCATCGGCTCAAGATAATCCCCCTTCTTACATCTCAACCCCAACAGGACCTTGTTCTCCTAAGTTTCAGAAGATACCCAGGCCCGGTCTCAGAAGAATGCCAAGACCTAGGCCGACCCTACTGGGTCATGTCCACTTTTTCTCTTACTTCTTCTTGCCCACACCCATCAAGAGTGAATTCTACATGGAGATCTGAGGTTCAGGAAGCCTAACTCAGCAGGGCACTCAGACCACTCACATGCTGGGGTCTGGACACTGCTCACTCGTCATTTGCAAACATACCTATCCCTATAAGACCCAAATCCACTTCTGAAACACCTGCCCCATGCCTGCTTTCTCTGTGATCAAACTAGAAATTACTGTCAACACCGGGCAGAAACTTGTGGAGGCTGCCCTTATTGGTCCTGTAAGAGACATAGTGCATATGCAGGAAGGCACTCTGTTTATCTTTTATGCAGAGTGGGGAATTTTTTAACATTCTAATTAAAGACCCACGGCACCCCATTGGTAAACTCTACTATAGCACGTATTATAGCCGCCATCAGGCATGGTCCCAATACAGAGGGCACACATCCCACTCTTTAAGCCCCCAGGTATCAACACAGGAGAAGCAGTGGTCCAAAGCTTCTCAAAGTCCTTCCATCCCTAATATCCCTTCTTGATGATACCGATTCTACCTCCCTCTCACACCATCTCTTGTTTCAAATCTTAACCTCTGCATTTCAGCTGTTGAATAGTGTCTTGCCTGACTGCTTATAAGAATGCTGGTTGTGGGGCTGGAGAGATGGCTCAATGGTTAAGAGCACTGCCTGCTCTTCCAAAGGTCTTGAGTTCAATTCCCGGCAACCATATGGTGGCTCACAACCATCTGTAATGAGGTCTGGTGCCCTCTTCTGGTCTGCAGACATACACACAGACAGAATATTGTATACATAATAAATAAATAAATATTAAAAAGGAGGGTTGTGTGTCCCTCCTAGGTCAAACTCACAATCACCATTTGTGCCCCCTCCCATTGTCTTATTAGATTCTCCTAACTCGTCACTGGTAAATTGCTCTGAGCCAAATATCACTACTACACCTCATCTCTCCCACGCTTCTCTCTTTGGTGTTGCAGACTGCAATAATACCATAACCCTTAGTACTACAACCCAGCACTTCTGCCAAAGCATTCACAATGCCTTGATTCTCTGTGGCACACAAGTGTACCACTGCCTACCTTCTAGGTGTAGGACTTACGTCCTGGTGTTCCTTTCTCCTAATTAGGGGTGGTACCTGGTGAGGAAGCCTTGCCAGTTCCCATCACTGAGTTTATAGCAGCACAGATGGCAAGCAACTCAGGTTCTACCCCTTCTGGCGGCTCCAGGCATAACTGCAGGTGTAGCCACTGGAGCAACGGGCTTGACTACTTCCCCGTTTACCACCGGCTTTCCTCACAATTCATCCAGGATTTCCAATAGGTAGCTCAGACTATCCTCACCCTTCAGGATCAGATAGACCTGAAGTACCTGTAGTACCATAGTACTACAAAAATCAGAGAAGATTAAATTTACTAATAGCAGAGAGGTGGTCTTTGTCTCTTTCTTGGGGAAGAACGTTGCTTCTGTTAACCAATCAGGTATAGTAAAAGATAAGATCCAACAACTTCAGACAGATCTTCAAAACATGAGGGACAGCGTGATGCCTCTGGCCAGTGCATAGTCCAATACGGAACGGGATGATACTTCTTAGTCCCTCTTCTCCCCCTTTTCTTAACCTCACTAGTTGCATCCTGCCTCAGAAACTTCTTGTCTAGACTCCTTCAACAACAGATCCAAAGGATTTCTAACCAGACTTTCAATCAGTTGCTATTACAGGATCACCAATCCCTAGCTGTGGAGTCAGAGACGTGCAGCACCCAGAAAAACACACTCTGGCCCTAAAACCAGTGCCAAAGAAACACAATTTGGCCATAGAATCACAGTCAGTCAAACAAATATGCCCTGGCTCTGAAATTAGAGTCAAAAGGCTAAAAAGGGCCAGTGAGAGGAACACATTTTGGCCCTGAAACCAGAGCCAAATCTGTCCCTGACCAAATAAGCAGAAAACCAACCAATACCTGTTCACGAGATCTAGCCAATCTGAGTTCAACAAAGGACCGAAATCTGAGCAACTCCCACACTGAAAATCTCCCTGGAAAACCCCGCCCCTAGGAAGCCCTATATAAGCCCTGTACCTGTTCAGTCTGCTGCTGCCTTTCTCCATCCTGACAGAGGCAGTCACCCTCCTCCACTCTTCCCTCCCAACAAATCTCCTGAATGAGGGGTGGGTGAGACCTTCTTTCACAGGAGCAGAAACGGGTGGAGCTGAGCAGAGCAAGGCTGTAACACTTTCACTGCAGCGGAGTGGGGACGTTATACTCAGCAGGACTGAGCAGAACTGGAGCTGAACTGTAATAACATCTTTGGGGAAGCCCTCCCCTGCTGGAGCAGAGCAGTTACACTGGGGAAACATTCCCGTAGGAGCAGGGCTGTAAGCTGCTACCCTTACTGTGACCCGTGATATTCCTTGGCTCTGCATTGCCAGAACACCTTTCCATCAAAGCTGTAACACTTACAGACATGGTGCTGATGAAGGAACCAAGAGTTCTATATCTGGATCCGTAGGCAGCAAGAAGAGACTATGAGACACTGGACTGCTTTGAGCATATGAGTCCTCAAAGCCTTGACCTCAGTGAAACATTTCCTCCAACAAAGTCACCCCTACTCCAGCAAGGCCACACCTCCTAAGAGTGCGGCTCCCTGTGATCTTATGGGGCCATTTTCATCCAAACTTCACATTCCACTCCTGGCCCCCATAGGATATAACTATATCACAATGCTAAATGCATTTAGTCCAACGCCAAAAGTTCCCATAGTCTATCACAGTCTCAACAATGTCCAAAAACTTAAAATTCAAAGTCTCTTCTGAGACTCTGCAATCTTTTATTTTTTTATTTTTTATTTTATTTTATTTTTGTTTTTTCGAGACAGGGTTTCTCTGTGGCTTTGGAGCCTGTCCTGGAACTAGCTCTGTAGCCCAGGCTGGTCTCGAACTCACAGAGATCCGCCTGCCTCTGCCTCCCGAGTGCTGGGATTAAAGGCGTGTGTCACCATCGCCCGGCTTCAGCAATCTTTTAACTGTAATCCCCAGTCAAATCAAAATAAAAAAACAAGACTACATACTTCCAACATATAATGGCAGAGGATATACATTACCATTCCAAAAGGGAGCATAGTGAGGAAATGCTGGACCAAAGCAAGACTGAAACGCAGCTGGGCAAATTCCGAACTCTATCTCCACGTCTGATGTCAAAGTGCTCTTCAGATCTCCAGCTCCTTTCAGCTTTGTTGACTGCAGAGCACTTCTTCCTCCTGGGCTGGCCCCACACCCTGATAGCAGCTCTCCTCAGCAGGTGTCCTAGGCTCTGGCATTGCCAAGATCTTGGGGTCTCCAAGTCAATCCAGTCTTCACCTTCGCAGCTTCACACAATGGCCTCTCTAGGGCCACCATTCAGGGACACCCCTGTCAAGTTCTGCCGCTTGCTGGGGCTGGAATGTGGCCCCCTCTTTTCAAATATATCTTTACCAATTTTCTGTTTTCCATGGTTTCCTTCACTGCCCAAGCTTGGCTGTCCTGAAACTTAATCTCTGAACCAGGCTGGACTCAGACTAAGAGATCTACCACCTCTGTCTTCTAGTTCTAGGATTACAGGTGTGTACCACCAACACCTGGCAGTAAACTTTGCTTTAATTCTGCTCACAGACCGGGAGCTTAGCTGGGGAGGGTGTTGCACTGAGGTTGCCACTCCCTTTATTCTACTAACACCAGGCTTTTCTTTGATGGCTTTATTTCCCTGAGCACAGGATTTAGCACCTTTCCACTTCCTTGTGCCCCTTACTCCTTGTACTGTAATTATGTATTCTTCTTTGCTCAACTTGTTCCTTTTCTTTATAGATCTGCATTAACAGTGGCCATAATAATCATGTAATAAAGTCAATACTAGGTTGCTTTGAAATCGCCTCTGCTAATGTCATTAATCCAAAACTCTTCAATTTAGTCACAGACAGACAATTCAGACAAGGGGAAAATGTAGCTATGTCCTTAGCCAAAATAACACAAGAACATTCTCTAGGCCACATACAAATATTCTCCTCTGAAACCTCTTGATCCAGATCCCCACAGTTCAAATCACCCCCAGCACCACTGTCTTCCAGGCTCCTACTGGGATGGCCCGTTAAGCCCCACTTAAAGCTTTCAACTGCTTTTCTAATCCAAACTCCCAAAGTCCACATTCCTCCAAACAAAATCACGGTCAGGTCTATCACAACAATACCCCAGTCCTTGGTGCCAACTTCTGCCTTAGTTTGGGTTTTTACTGCTCTGAAGAGACACCATGACCACAGCAACTCTTGTAAAGGAAAAACATTTATTTGGGGCTTGTTTATAGGTTTAAAAGCTTAGTCCATTAGTGTCATGGCAGGAAGCATGGTGGCACGCAGGTAGAGATGGTGCTGGAGAAGAGACTAAGAGTTCTACATCTGTACCTGTAAAGAAGCAGGAAGAGACTGTGCCACTGGGACTTGCTTGAGCATCAAAGACTTGGAATCCCACCCCCAGTGACATACTTCCTCCAACAAAGCCACACCTACTCCATCAGGCACACCTCCTAATAGTGCCACTGCCTGTGAGTCTATGGGGCCATTTTCACTCAAACCATCACAGCATGGGATATAAAGTCTCTACTGTCACATGATCAGTCCAGGTGGGGAAGAAGGGAGGTGAGACAGATAAACACTGAGTACAAACACCAGAAGATAAAGTCTAAACTGGGACAGGCCCCTGAAGAATGTGGCCCAGGAGCTGGCTCAAGGGTCAGGGGAGTGAGCTAGGTATGCAGGCTGATGGAACAGGACCAAGACCAGGTAAGCAATAGAGCCATGAGGTTGTCAGTACACAGTAGAGATGAAGATGTCCCCTGGATGAACTAGTGTACTTCAGACCATCCTTGTCAAGTTACAGTCATTTTGATATCAAAAGAACAAGTAAGAGGTGGCTGAACTTCCAGAACCAGAGAAGGAAGTCACCCCTCCTCTTCTTCCACATCTTTATCTTCTAGTTCTTGTTTGTACTGGTGATCAAACCTAGCAGGTGGCAAACATTTCACTTCAGAGGTATATCCCCTGCCCCCATTCACATTTTTGAAGCAAAATGTCATTCTCCACTAGAACAAGCGCCAGGAAACAGCATTTACAGGCAGTGAAGCAGAATTACACGAGAACTAGAAGACTTGGTTTATTAAAATACGGTCATACAGTGCAAACTTCAATGACTTCTAAAAAATAAGAATAGGTCAGTTTTGAAGAGCCTGCCTCAACTAATGACACTGTCTTGTAAATATAATCAAACGTCTGCCGAATGGATGAAAAACAGTGAAGTATTTTTCATTTCTATTGGTTACTTGAAGCCATGTACTTTTATCATATCCATCCCTCATTCCACCTTCCCTCCCCTCCCCAGTCGGCTTCATGTAGTTTGTGCTGCCATGCGCTCGCGAACACGTGACGTTTGACTAAAGGTTGGCTACATCAGGGCTACACCCTTAAAAATGGGTTCTTCTCTCCTAGTAGCTCCTTAGCTGCGGAGACACAGCAGGAGTCCAAAGGGAGACATTAGGTAACATCTCAAGTAGCAGTGGATACCTGCACTCTGGCCTTCTTGCAGCCCACGTTTCCTTCAGCACTGAGAATGGAGCCCAGGGCAAGCTCTCAGGCTTACTCCAACTCCTTTCTGAAAACGGACCACTACAAAGCAGGCTGCTACTAATCCGAGCTCCGCTTTACTCAGGTATCTGACCTTTCCGTGGGATTAGGTAACCCTCCTTCAGTTAGAGAATATGGCATGAGCTGACGACATGCGCTCTATCTGCAGTTTATAGGCCCCTGGAAATCATCTCATGCATGCAGTCTTAAGCCAGATTTGAGGGCTGGATGGAAGTATACCACTGAGCAGTTGGTATAATAATTTTACATGAGTGTTGAAAGGAAAGCCTGCCTCATCTCTTGCACTCACTGCTAAAAGCCTTTATTTACTCTGGCTGATACACAGATAGGCTCGGGGAAGGCTATATATTAGCTATTAGACCATCTTTTTACAGAGGAGCCTTCAAAGAGTAGATGTGAAGAAGGAACTACACCAAGAACAAGTTCTATCTGAGAGTTTCTGGGCCCGGAGGCAGCAGGGCAAGGCAGTGACTAACCCGAGAAGGGGTACTGCTGTCACAGAAGTGCGGACCAGCCTTGTGCGACTTTGTCCTGTTCCACGACAATGTGTTTACCCATTGGGCTTATCCACCACAGGCCTGCAGGACACCTTTGGAGCTGGCCAGGAAACAGAGGAAATCCACAGTGAATGTTACTAGAGAATGTGGAGATGGGAAGAAAATGTCAGAAATGTAGGTCTATAGGAAACATATCATCTATGAAATTAAACTGACAAGCAAGGTATTTTTTACTTAATAGGTTTTCAAAACTGACAATAACATGCATTCACTACTTACACCTATAAGCAAGATAAAGAACAGTAGTGGTGTAACTGGGTGTGCGCATAGCTTGCTTGCTGGTACCAAGTCTTGCCATGTAGCCCTGACTAGCTAATGTGGATCAGCTCTCAAACGCAGGGTGACTTTAATGCCTCTGCCTCTCAAGTGCAGACCATGAGCATGAACCACCACACCTGGCTAGTAACATTTTCACAGGAAACAGGACAGCGGTGCCATCTGAAAGCCGACCCAAGTTTTGTAATCGTATACCAGAAACTCTAGGACAACCACTAGTACCTTTTAAAAAGACTCTACTTCATTTTAATTTGTATGAGTTTCACTATGCAGCTTATGCTGGCGTGCAGTACCATGTCCAGGTAAAAGTTTAAGTCTTAAAAAAAAAAAAACAGAAATACTGAAAGGAAATAGAATACACTGAATGCTCAATGCAAATGGGAAAACAGCAACAGCACAAGAACCTAGAAATAGAGTAGGAAAAGGATCCAGGAGTAATACATTGGAAAAGCTGTATTAATCAGCTATAACACTAATCTTTTCAAATGCTAATGAATGATCTTACTATACAAGTTAAATGGCAGATTATTAGCATGGACAAAAACAAGAACCAACTATATGCTATCTAAAAGAAACGATCAATGCATAAAGGGAGAGAGCAGGACATAACGCAATGCTAAGCCTAGTAAGAGCATGCCACAGTAATTTTTATTTCAGACAGGGCAATGAGTCCTGAAAATTACTGGGGTCAAACTTGCTGAACATAGTGGACAATGAGGACTACTGAGACCTCAAGAACAATGGCAATGGGTTTTTGATCCTACTGCACGTATTGGCTTTGTGGGAGCCTAGGCAGTTTGGATGCTCACCTTACTAGACCTGGATGGAGGTGGGTGGTCCTTGGACTTCCCACAGGTCAGGGAACCCTGATTGCTCTTTGGGCTGATGAGGAGGGGGACTTGATCGGGGGAGGGGGACTTGATCAGGGGGAGGGGGAGGGAAATGGGAGGCAGTGGCGGGGAGGAGGCAGAAATCTTTAATAAATAAATAAATTTAAAAAAGAAAAAAAATAATTGTACTGTAACAATAATAGCGTCAATTCTTTAACGTATATGCACCCAGCAAAGCATCAAAATGCATGAAGAACCAGGTGAATGCCTTCCATTGGGAGGCAGAATAGGTGGCTCTCAAGACCAGAATGGTCTATAAAGTTCCAGCTCTGTCAGGGCGATATCAGTGAGACTAGAATAAAATCAAACAAAACACACATGGAACAGAGAGATGGAACTCGTAGGACAATACATTCACAAGCATAACCTCAAACCAACACTCCTACCGACTGCAACTGAGTATTTGACATTTTTATCCAGCAGCAGGAAAACGCATTCTTATGCTTAGAGAGAACATTCGCTTCAAAAGACCACATCCTGGGTCATAAGGTACACTTAATCATTTGAGAAACAGAAGCCAGGCCAAAGAGACGGGCACCTCAGTGTGGTAAGTGCTGTGCAAGCCTGATGACCCGAGTTCCACCATGGGAATAACGTAAAGGGAAGGGGAGAACTGACTCCACAGAGCTGACCTCCACAGGTGTACATCCTACATGCACATACGCGTGTGATAATGGTGACGGAAAATGAAAATGGAAGCTTGGAGCTGAGTGTAGTGGTTTGTAGCTGGAAGGCTGAACTAGCAGGATCTTAAGTTTAAGGCTAGTTTGGGCCACACAGTGAGTTACAAACAGTTCAGGCTACAGTAGGACATCTTATTAAAAGAATAACCAGTGGATGGAGAGATGGGTATGAGCACTTGCTGATCTTCAAAGGACCTGGGTTTGGTCCTCAGCAACCATATCAAAGTGGCTCACAACTGCCTATACCTCCAGTTTCAGGACATCCAACACCCTCTTCAGCCATTCCCAGGCTCCAGGCGTACATGTGAATATACGAAAGAGAATGTCTGACAAACAACAAAGTAGGCATGGAGGTGCACACCTGCAACTGCCACCCACCCTCAGGACAGAGGACAGGAGGCTATGGAGATCCTGCCTCAAATCCTCAACAACAGCAAATAGTCCAGAACAGGAAATCCACAGAAGCAGAAAGCAGACTGTCAGTTTCTTAGGGTGTGGCAGGCAGCATGTACCACGGTTTGGTTTGCTTGTTTTGCTCCAACGTTATAGTGATGCTTGTACAATGCTGTGAACATATTAAAGAACTCTGAGCAAGTGAACTATAAAGCATGTAAAGGTTTTTATAAGGTTATGAGGGCTGGAGATGCAGCTCAGTGATACAATACGTGACTAATAAGGGCGAGACCCTGGGTTCCATCTCTGGAACTTCACAGAACTAAATACCGCAAAACACAGATTTGGTCCTAAAATTCTCCTTTACTGGCAATGACATCCAAGAATGTATTGGAACATCTATGTGTATGCTGGGGGAGGAGCAGCCTCACCATGAAGGCCTACCTATGGCTGTGTGAACCTCCAGCTCCCCAGATAAATCTGCCGAGAATACTTCATTTCCTCCAGGGCTATGGTGTGTGTGTGTGTGTGTGTGTGTGTGTGTGTGTGTGTGTGTGTGACACAGCAGACAAGTGTACAGGAGATATGTAGTAGGAGATTGTTATCATCCCCTGAGTTCAGTGTTACCTAACTCCAACGTATATGTATTACTTTTACTATGAAACATTTTTTATAAAAAAAAATGTTTATATTTAATTTTTATAAAAGAAAGCACCAATACTACTTTCAACTCGGGATTTATATATCTAACCAGCTGCTGAAACATCTCTTCTGCCTGCTTCAAAAACACCCAAACCAACTATTTTTATAATCTCATTAAAAATACAATTGAATGCTCTAGAGAGATAGCTCAGTGGTTCAAAGTGTGTACTGCTCTTGTAGAGGGCCTGAGTTCAGTTCTCAACACCATGCTGGGCAGCTCACAGCTGTCTTTAAGACCAGCTCCAGGGGGAGCCGACACCTCTGGCTGCTGCTGGTGTCTGCACTCATGTGCACATTCCCTTCAGACACATACAAATACACCAAATTAAAAATAAAATAAATATTAAAAGTATAACTACTCCCAAACAAGGGGAGCAAGGAGAATGGAGTGGGGTAAAGAGAAGGTAATAAGTGGTGAACGTGACACAATACTTTATGTCACTCGCTTATGGACAAAAACACCTTCATGTGCTGAGCCATCTCATAGGCTCAAGGATCAAGTCTTTAGGGAGCCTTCCTAGATCTTATGCAGCAAGGTGAGAGGACTATTTGAGACACTGAGTTTTGTTTGTGCACTTAGCTGGTCTACATCTTTCAGTATGGACTCCCAGTCCACAAACACAGACCCTATTCTTACTTTTCCCCTATATATCTAATGTCTGGAACATAGACACCCGATAAAACTTGCTGAGTAGTGTATTTAAAATAATACAACACATAAGACAATGGAAATTCTGCTTTCAATCAGAGGGCTACCCACCTTGCACGCTGCAAATGGAGTTGACAGGTGTGAGGGAGCCCAGTTCATCCAGTGTCACTGGGCCAGGCAGGTCACAGGAACCAGCACCAGGAGGTACATACAAGAGGGACTTCTGGGGTAGGAGGACTGTCCGCTCAACACAAACAATCTGACCTGCCATGGAGATAGTTCAGATTATTCACGCAATTAAGAAACGCATCACACTCCAGCTAGTCTCCTTCACCAGCCACCGCGAGTTGTGCAGGAAGAAAAGGCACAGACGAGTTTGTCACTTCCTAATGGAGGCTGTCCAGCATGTCAGTGTCACATGGAAGCACATCTCAAAGCCCCCAGTGGACAATGGTGGAAAAGAACACAGCTACCACATTCAAATACAATTGAATGGGATGAATTTTATGGTATTCGCTATACCTAAATAAAATGGGAAAAAAAGTTTAACTGTTTGATCCCAAGGAAAGGTATGGACTGATCTAAAGCCTACCTTATTATTATTGTTATTATTATTATTATTATTTTGAAAAAGGGTCTCACTGTGTGACCTAGGCTGGCCTCTAACTGATGATACTCCTGCCTCAGCATCCCATGTTTTGGGGTTACAGGTCTTTGTTACAGGGCCAGACATATACCATGTTCTCTAGTGTTTGTTTTATTTTAAAAAGGGACAGCTAGGCAGTTTCCACATATACACAGATGCTGTCAACAGAGTCAAGTGGCCAAAAGTGTCTTTCCAGTGTCTATCACAACTTGGGGTGCTGGCTCCTACCAGGTTGGCAAAGTCAATGAGAGCCAATGACGGGTAAGATGGCCTCTGTACCCACTCCAGGCTAGGCTCGCACTGGGCTTTGGGAAGGTGCCAGCAGTACTGAGCAGGATGGGGCGGCAGTGCAGGATCGAAGCAGCCACTCTAGTTGGGTAGTCAAGAGAAAGCAGCATACCCTTGTCTCGAAGAGCATCCCTGAAGAGTATGGTAGGAGGCACAGCCATGGCAAGTTCTTCTACAACTCCTGGGCCCAGCACACATGAGGGGGCTACACAGACTGGCAGCGTTTTGGGGAGGGAGTGGTCCCTTTCATCCTGTATTTGTAGGGTGATGTCAGTCACCAGCAGCCAGATTTCCTTTTGTGCCAAGAGATTCTTTAGCTGCAATTTGAAATAAGAAAACCCTATTAACTGTGCATATCCAAAACCTTTAAAAGCAGTATTAGTGATTATTTATACTCAAAATTTAATATATGATTTCAAGCACAATTTAAAACGTACAATGAAGTTTCCACACCAAGGTTACTGGCACTCACTGATGCAGCCCCACCCTCTCCGTGGCTGTTAGGGCTCCTCTACAGGGCACAACACAGCCCTCAGGGGCAGTTCTCCCCTTGTCCCTTGAAGTCCTCAGGAGAACGCATTTCCATTCCCTCCCAGGTCTACGACTTCTGTTCAGTGGAGTCATCTGTTTCCCGAGGATTAGGGACAGACGTCGAGTGACCACGCAGAGACGTATAAAGCAGCTGTCACAAACCTCTGCATGTGCAGCAGGCTTCATTTTTATTAGTTTTGTCTTTCTTTTCCCCTTTCTGGAATTATGTATGTATGTATGTATGTATGTATGTATGTATATATATGTGTGTGTGTGTGTGTATGTATATACCATTGGCAGGAGCTGTGATACTTTAGGAAGTTCTAGTAAACCGGCCTTCTGCCTTTACCAGTTGGTCAAAACTTACATCAATAGATAGAAATTCAAGTCAAGGAGAAAGTGTAGGCCCAGGATCTAAGTGCTTGGCTGGTTTAAGAGTTCAGCTGATATGGCTGGAGTGGATGGCATGCTTAGGAGATGTGGGCTGGGGTGAAGAGCTTAGATCATTAGGGATTGAATACAGAAAATAAATTAGAGTAAATATTACTGACGAAAATATAAACAGAACCAGCTTTCTCCTTGCTGGTGAGGGAAGGTTTCATTTATTGAGACTGAATTTCATGTAGCCCCGATTGGACTCAAATTCCCTGTGGAGCCAAGGGTCATCTTGAACCCCTGATTTTCCTGCTTCTATCTCCAAGCCAGGAAAGTCTAGAGAAAATTCTAGACAAGATGGTCTCTGGTGGGAGGAACTGGTGCGCAGCATGACTTTAGACAGACATACCAGGTGTGCACAGCGATATATCCACATCTGTCTCCTTGCTCTAGTGACAGAGAAGCCTAAAGATAATTATATTCCAATAGAAGCAAGACTACCTAGAGCCAGATATTGGCTTTTAAATATCATTTCCCTTTAAAATTCACTGCACTCAATGAAAAAGGGACTGATTCTAAAGTCTAAAGCCCAAAGAGCAGGCACACAGGAGCCTGATGCCAAATTAGACAATCTTCCACACGGTGGAGGCAGGACTGCATCTCAGAAGCTGCCCTCTGCCCTCCACAGCACACAGATATACACACACATGTGTACACACACACACACACACACACACACACGCACGCACGCATGCACGCACGCACATATACTAAAAGGCAAATCAATGAAAAGCAAACCGCCAAAGGTCAGGTTGAAACATCTTACTGTGTCAGAAGAGAAAAATTCAAATTAAAGATCAGCTACTTTTCCGTTGCTGTTATAAAGGTAACGGAGGAGAAAGTTTGCTCAGTTAATGGCTCTAAAGGGCCACAGTGCATAATGATGGGGAAGCCATGCTAACAGGAGCACGGGGCTGACTTGGCAACCAGGAAGCAGAGAGACCACATTTCAGTGGCAAACAGGAAGGAGGGAAAGGAAGGGGGAGAGATGACTCTCAAAGCCTACCCCAAGTGACATACTTCCTCCAGAAAAACTATATTTCCTAAAGGTTTCAGGAACCTCCCAAACGTCACCACCAACTAGAGACCAAGTACTCAAACAGAGGAACCTCTGGAAGCCATCTCTTATAAAATACCACACACGTTGACTATGCTCAGACAACCACGGCGACAACTTCTCTCTGGAAAGACGTGAATACCAAATGAACAACAGTAACACATTGTATAAAACCTAGTGAATGAAAAATGAGGGGGCTACAGTGCAGCTTCCCTGAGACTGGGACTTAGAGGGGATGCAGCTGTGAGAGGTCACCTAGGATCCTGACATGTCTCTGTAGGATCACCTTTGATTCCTAAGCCCTCTGAGCAGGGTGCCAGGCTCAAGCTGTGAGAGAGGGCTCAGGAGATCAGAGGCTCCCAGCCCACCAAAACCCACATAGCAGGTCAGTCTTAGATGTGGAAGAAAACTCTTTAATTTCCCCCTTCTTCCCTTCCTTCCTCTCTTCCTACACTGTCAAGCTGTTGAAAACACAGACCTTGTTGCTGTGGTATAGTGAACCAACGTTCAGCCATAAGTGAAAAACCAAAACCAAAACAGATATCTATATTTTTCCCTCAGAGGGTAAAAACTAAATGTTCTTTATCAATACCTGAGATTTGTCTTTCAAATGACTGAAAGACCAGTATCTTCTAATTTTTTCTTAGTTTAATTTTACATTTCACTATTACTGCTGTTCTTGTTGGGATGCATGGTACACACAAGCACAGAGGTGCCAGCTGACATGACACTCTTATGGAGTCGCTTCTCTCCTTCTTCCCTCCTTCTTCACATGGGGCCTGCCTGCTGAGCAATCTTCCTTGACCATTTTTTGGACCCCTATTTTTTAAATTAATTACCAAATTACTTCTACTACCAGGGCATAAAAATTAATAATAAGACTATCTTTCATAAAAAGACATCAATATCCAATAGCTAAAATTTGTTTAAAAGAAATCTTTTCTTATTTGTAATTGCTTAAACTTGGGAGCAGACAAGATCTTTGGGGAGACGTGTTACTTTTCTCACTACTATGAGAAAAGACCCGAGGAAGGATGCTTCAGGAGGAAGAAAGGACTTCTTGGCTTGTAGCTCTAGAGCACAGTCAGTCGTGGCAAGGAAGGTGATGGTGGGAAGGCCAGTGTGCGAGGCAGCAGGTCTTCCTGCCCTAGCAGTCAGAAAGGTGAGAAGGAAATGCTGGAGCTAGCTCACTCATGCTGATCCAGTCTCTGTATGGAGGCCCCGAAGGGTCACTGCATGAAAGCACTGAGGTGTGGAGATACCGGGACCACAAGGTATCCTGAGGAGGGCTGCAGGCATGGGATAGAGATGGGCCAAGAAAGAAGCCTTGTGTGTTGTGGTACAGAGCTTCAAGTCTTTTTGACCTCAGAAGATGCCATTGGCAGCTCCAGATGCCAGAGTCAGACCTTCACGATTTGGTGTTTTCACTTCTGGGTTTCAGTCTTGCTTCGGTCTGACCTTTCCTTGTCATGCCCACATCCCTCCGTATTGGAACGTTTCATCGTATGTCACCTTTTACGTTACAACGGCTCATGGCTAAGAGACTGAGTATCAGGAGAGATGCCTCACTTATACTTTTGCGCACAACTACTGAAGACTTCTGAGATCAAACCAAATTTATTTTGCTTTATGGGCCGGCCATGGGCCTTATGGAGGCTCCTGCACCCTTTATGCCTATAACACAAGACCAGCAAGGACAACACTGCTAAGTTGTGATCAAGATTGAGTGTACTCGCCTTGGAGCACAGCTGCAGTGGCCTTGTCCACTCTGTAGGCTGGAGAGACTCTGGCAAGACCCCTTTCCATCTCAAAAACTCAATCGAAAAAACTTCCCCATACATGCCCAAAGGTTTGTCTCCTGGCTGATTCTGATTCTGTCAAGCTGACAATCAATCCTGACCATCACAGTAGGTAAATGAGCTCTGAAACAGCTAGATAATGGAACGCTTATTCCTGAGTGTTATAGGGAGTGAACCCTCAAGTCACTCAGGAGACATGGATGCCTAAATGCTTCCTACGGAGAGAAAAAAAGCCAACTGAAAAATCTGTGTACTCCAGGATTAGACCATGTTGTACTCTGGGTTTCAGCGTTTGCTAAGGGGTCTGAAGGAGGAAGGGATGAATAGGAAGAGCGCCGAGGACATCTGTTACCATAGATTCTGCAATGATTCTGTCCCAAAGTATAATGGCAAGAATTATTAACTATAAACCCTAGGTGATTGTGTAAGCTGTTAAGACATACATGGGAGATTTTTACTTTATCCTTGATTTTGATGCAGATCCAAAACTCTTCTAAAACATAAAATCTATTAAAGAATTCTTTTGATTTGTTTATTTTTCGAGACAGGGATTCTCTGTGTAGTTTTGAAGCCTGTCCTGGAACTTGCTCTATAGATCAGGCTGGCCTTGAACTCACAGAGATCCATCAACTTCTGCCTCCCAAGTGCTGGGATTATAGGCGTGTGCCACCACTGCCCAGCCTAAAGAGTTCTTATAGCTACATGTAACCCAGAAAAAGCATTTGAACATGGGCAATAGTTCTGGATCCTGACTTGTTCCTAAGCACAGGGTCATCTGACACATACCCCACTGGAGGCCAAGCTGACTGCCCTGGCATATTCGGAATCTATTGCATATAAGGCCGTCAACATACCCACCCAGCCCCATGAGGCAGTACCCTGATCTAGTGAAGCAAGAACTCAATGTCTTCCTCTGCCACTGTGTTTCCTTCCCTGTCTTCCTCACTCTCAGCCTCTGCGTTACAGCATCTCCCTGAAGGGCAAATGGCTCCTGCAGCACCACCTGCATAGTTCTGTGTCTAGAACACACTTTGGAATAATGCGAAGTCACAGATGAAGGATGGCTCCAAATGAGGGGGGTAAATTATTGGTTAACCTAGATTTTAGAGATATTTTTCTATTATGGCATACCACTAATTTCTAAGAGATTGTTCATTGGCTAGAGGAAGAGAGGGGAAGACAGACATGGCAATATTACCTGTGGTCTTCGATAAACCACTTTGGCATAGAAGCTGCAGCGTGTGCCATGCTCATCATTCTGGAACGGCAAAGACGGAAACATCACAGAAAGCACAGGAACAGCAGAAGCATCTGAAGTACCTGTTAGAGCCACAGCCATTACCTGGAGGATTTCTTGTAAGCAGTGGACAACTGGAGGCTGGTAGAGCTCAGAAATGGGGTCCCCTTCAATTGTATCGATGTGTCCCAGGCTTGGATGTGCAGAGAAGATATAACAGAAGGTAGGGGGAGGCAGGCACGTCTTTATCTGTTTAGTATAAAGGAAAAAAAGAGAGTAAGAATGTCTTGTTAAAAGAGCCAAAGAGCTGGGTGTTGGTGTGCGCCTTTAATCCCAGCACTCGGGGGGCAGAGGCAGGCAGGTGTCTATGAGTTCAAGGCCAACCTGGTCTACAAGAGCTAGTTACAAGACAGGCTCCAAAGCTACAGAGAAACCCTGTCCCAAAAAACAAAAGATCCAAAGAATACTACTAACATAAGTTCTTTTAGTATTCTCATGATCAGGCTTGGCTTGATTGTGCAGGCCTGGGATCTCAGCTTGGGAGGCAGAGACACAAGGATCACAAGTTCAAGGCCTACCTGGACTTCAGGAGAACTTCATGGCCAGTCTGAGCCACTTAGTGAGACCTATATAACTCAGTGGTAGAGCATCTAGTACGGAAAGGCCCTAGTGTCAGTTCCTAAGACTAGAATACACACACATGCGCACGCGCGCGCGCACACACACACACACACACTGTTTTATGATGTATGTTCTCATGGGAAGGCTAGATAAGAAATGGGTTATGTTTTGCATCTGGGGCACCATGTATAAGAAAATTTCTGTGCAGATTTAAGATTTCATTTTAGATTTAGCATTCATGCCAGGCATGGTAACATAAGCCTGCAATTTCAACTCTTGGGAGAAAGAAGCAGGGGTACCAGGACTTTAAGGTCATCCTAAGATACACAAGGCCCAGTGTTAAAACAAAACAGAAGGAGAAGAACTTATTCCTCAGAGTATACTGCAAGTACCACTTAGAAATTGCTCCTTACAGAATGTGCAGATGGGAATTTTGAGAAGGATGATGCTCCCTGGCACAGGCTCACACGTGATACATGCAGCACTCCGCTAAAAAGCCAGCTACAAGAAGCTGGAGAGATGGCTTAATAGGTCAAGCACTTGCCACAAAATTCAGTTTCCAGAGCCCACGAACAAGCTGGTGGGATAGAACACCAATACTTGGGGGTGGAGCCAGAAGGATCCCAAAGATCAGTGGCCAGGCAATCCAACCAAAATGGTGAGTTCCAGAGAGATATCCTCTCTCAAACACTTGAGGTGGAGAAGCAGCTGAAGAAAGATATTCTGACAGCAAGCTTTAGCATCTACATATGCCTGTTATATGCTCTCTCTCTCTCTCTCTCTCTCTCTCTCTCTCTCTCTCTCTCTCTCTCTGACTCTCTCTGTCTCTCTCATACACACACCACAGACAAGGTGGATGTTGAGGGAGGAGGAAGAAGAAAAGAGAGGGGTGTGTGTGTGTATGTGTGTGCGTGCTAGAGAGAGAGAGTTGCTTTGGGCACTGTAGACTAAAGCAGCCACCCTGATGGGCAAACCCGAGGGGCAGTAGAAGAAACTTCTTGGCTTTTTTTTTTCTTCCTATTTCTGAGTCCCTACAAGGAACAATGTGGTGAGGCAAAGCGAAATTTCTGTTGACTATTTATGATTCTACCTAGCATCTGTGCTAATTGATAACTGAGTGTTGACTTTATAAACTATTGCAAAGGACTTTGAGGCACAGTGTCGGCTTCAGGATGAGGCTAACGAAGACTGACTTGCAGCAGTGAATGAGGATTGTATCATGACTGAGTTTGCAGGCACACACCTGTAATTCTAATATTTGGGAAGCTGAAGAAGGATTACTTTGAGTTTAAAGTTAGTATAGGTTCCAGGCTGAGGCCGATTTTGTATTTCTCACAAAACTAAAATACAAACCAAAATTCATCAAGAATTTTCCAGAGGAGCATGGAAAAGAACCGTCAGAATATTGGCACTGGAGAGGAGCTGTAGTCTGTCCTAGATGACACTCACACATCACTGCAGACAAAGGAACTAGTTGCATAGTGCTGCCCAAGGAAAGACACAGCCATCTGACTACAGTAGCAGTGCCCAACTCAGTTCCTGACGAGGAGCTTTCCAAGTCTGGGCGGCTTACCTCTTCACTGGGCTGGCCACAGGAAGGCTCGGTGAGAGGCATTACTGGGGGCCACATGGTATCAATTAAACTGAAGAGCCCTGGTGCCCTGGGATAAGAAGAGACACTGCTGGAAGTATTCATCAACAACATTTGCCAATAAAGTACCAGTCAGTTCATGTGCTTAAAGATGACAGTTTCTTTACACTGTGATGAGCCTAGACATAGCACGTCATCACTGAAACAAATATGCAGAATATACCTGGAGAACAGACATGCACACCTCGACTCCAGCGTGTGGAGCCTGAGGTAGGAAGATCAAGAGATTGAAGACTTCTGACTATCAACAGCAAGAAACCAAACCAAACCAAAATGGAACAGCAAAAATAGGGCCCAGCTGTTAGAGGACCAATTGCTCTACCAGATGACCTGGGTTTACTTTTCAGCGCCAACATGGCAGCTCACAACTATCTGTAACTCCAGTTTAAAGGATCCATCATCCTTACTCAGCACATACATGCAAGCAATACACCAACGCACATAAAATAAAAATAAATATTAAAAACAGTAAAAACAGGCCAGTGGTGGTGGCACACGCCTTTAACCCCAGCACTTGGAGGCAGGCGGATCTCTGTGAGTTCAAGGCCAGCCTGGTCTACAAGAGGTAGTTCCAGGACAGGTACAAAGCCACAGAGAAACGCTGTCTTGAAAAACCAAACCAAACCAAACCAAAAAAAGTAAAAGTAACAAAAACCTTGAGGATAAGGACATAGATAACTTGCTAAATGAAAGACAAGAAACAAATTAAAATGTCCTTATGTACATACTAGTGATTAAAAGATATGCCTTTGAGTGGTTAATTGAGAAGGGTTTGGAGGCAATATTTATATTTCCCTTTGGATTGTTTCATATGTATGTATATTTACACACACACGATTGTTTCATACAAACGATATATATAAATTTGTAAACATTTAAAGTTAAAATGTATGCCTTATATATAACTATTTCTAATACTGTGTGTGTATGATGTCTATGTGGGTGCATGCGCCACAGTGCATGCATGGAGGTCAGAGAGCAACTTTTGCTGAGCTGGTTTGGTTCTCTCTTTTCACATTCTTTGTGGCTTGAGGACACCAAGCTTGCATGGCAAGCATTTTTATTCACTGAGTCATTTAGTTGGCCCTTGGTTTGTGAATTCTGAAAAGAGGTTTAGGTTGGTATCACATTCTTTTCAATCACAACACTGGGGAGGCAGAGACAGGAAAAACTATGCAAGTTTAGACCAGCCAGGGATACACAGTGAGACCTTATATTACACATAGTGTGTGTGTGTGTGTGTGTGCGTGTGTGCGTGTGCATACATGCATGGGCACTCACTCATGTGTGCACAGAGGGGTTAGATTACAACTTGCAGGAGTTAGTTTTCACTTTCTACTTTTCTACTATGTGGGTCCTGGGAGTTGAGCTTACTCGATGGCTGATTGTTTTTGTGTTTTGAGACAGTATCTCATGTAACTGAAGCTGGCCTCAAACTCCATAGGTAGCTAAGGATGGCTTTCAACTTCTTATCCATCTACCACCATTTCCTAAATGCTCTGTTAGATCCTATTTAGGTGGTGCTTGGGATGGAACCCAAATTTCATGCATGTCGGACAAACAATGTATCAACTGATCTAAAAGACCAAACATATTTTTCAAAAACATATATACAGATGCTTTTTCAACTTGAGTACAATGGGGTTATGTTTTAATAAATTCATTGTAATTTGAAAATACTGTGTCTCAAAAATACACCCAGGGGCTAGAGAGATGGCTCAGTAGTTTGGTTCCTGGTGCCAACATCGGGAGGCTCACAACTATCTGTAACTCCAGCTCCAAGGACTCTGTGGGGGTTTGAAAAAAGATTTGCCTCCATATACTCATAGATTTGAATTCTTAGCCAACAGGGAGTGGCACTGCTTAGGAGGGGTTGGAGGTGCAGCTCTGCTGGAGTCGGTGCACCCATGTTAGAGGAAGTGTGTCACTGGGCGGGGGGAGGCTTGGGGTTTCAAAAGCCCAAGTCAGTCCCTTCCTGCTGCCTGTGGGTCTGGATGCTGAACTCTCAGCTACTTCTCCAGGGTCATGTCTACCAGTGTGCTGCCACGAGAACACAGCTGGTAGGCAACAAAGGACCAAGAACCACAATAGACTAAAAAATTAACAAAATGACAAGAAATACACACTTTTAAATAATTACTTCCAATATCAATAGTTTCAATTCTTCCACAAAAAGACTGATTGACATAGAAAACAAGATCCTCCTTTTATCTCCTTCTAAGAAATGACTCATTATCAAAGACAGGTCCAAAAATAGAATGGACGTTGGGAAAAAGTCTTCAAAGCAAATGCAAAAAACAGGCTTTACAATTCTAATATCGGACAAAACAAACTGCAAACCAAATCACGTCAGAAGAGATTAAGAAGGTCCCTCTTTTTGATCGAGCATATCACAATTCTAGAAATGTAAACACTGAGGATAGGTGAAGCCAATTTCATAAAACAAATACTGTTAGATATAAAGTCAGAGATTAATGCCATTCTCACCATTAGACAGATTGTGTAGGTCAAGAAAAAAAAAACCAAAAATCAAAACCCAGCAAACATTGGAATTAAATGATTTCAAAGATCAAACAGAGCTAGTAGGTATTATAGAACATTCTACTCAACCACTATATAATATACATTTTTCTCAATAGCCATGGATCTTCATTAAAATATCACTTACTTGGACAAAAACTAAGTGCCAATAAATATAGGAAAACTGAAATACTGCTTGTATTTTTATCTGATGACTACAGACTAAAGCTAGAAATCAACAGCAAGAGAAACAACATATGATGTGTAGGGTAGATGGTCCACACCCACTTTTGCGTTTCAAACCCCACCAAAACCCACCAATGCCTGAGTGTGAAAGCCCTCCAATCTCTACCCTGGAAAATTCTGCCACCCACCACCCCAAAAATCCCTATATAAGCCTGTTTTCTGCTCAGGTCCTTGCTGCTTCTCACCTGAGCAGAGGCAGCCACACTAATTTCTTGTGTGAGGTTTGTTGTGTTGTGTGACTTTGTGGTATTCACTGGTTCCTGACAGCCAGGACACCTTTACCTTTAGAGCTACACTTGCACTGGGAAACCTTTCCCCTCAGAGTTGAAACAGAGTCATTTTCCTCACCCATCCATAAGATTTAATAAGAAAAACATGCTCCACTCTGAAAGGTGCAAACATCTTAGTTGTTAAGCATTATGACTTAGGAACTAGACATAACTCAATCATGATGAAAACATAGGTTCTACCGTTCAGTGTTCCAAACTTAAAACATTTACACAATGGATAATTATTATAATTATCAATGGATGCTTATAGTTTTCAATAGTCTATTATATGCTACACAGGATGTAAGCTGTACTGTGAACACATTATTAAAGAATGTGTCGGGTCCCCTGAAGCTGGAGTTACAGTCTTCTGGGAACTACCTGATATGGGTGCTGGGAACTGAACTCTGATCCTCCCAAGAGCAGCAAGGGCTTTGTACCAGTGCCATCTATCAGCAGAAATTAATGAAACAGAAACAAAGAAAGAGTAACAAACAATAACATATAAATATTCAATAAAAGAAAGGGCTGATTCTTGAAAAAGATAAGCAAGGTTGACAAACCTTAGCCAAATTAACCAAAAGAAAGAGAAAACCAAAATAAATAAAATTAGAGATAAAAGGGAGACATTACAACAGATATCAAAGAAAGCCTATTTTAAAATACCTTTGCTCTACTACATTGGAAACCATAAAAGGAACAGATAAATTTTCTGGAAGAGTGAGACCCATGAAAGACAAACAATGATGAGAAAATAACCTATACAAACCTTTACGAAGCAGTTATAAATTAAGTAGGTAATAAATAAAAATTCCCACAACTAAAAAAAAAAAACAACAAAACAGATTCATTACAAACCTAAAGAACTGTTTCAGTCAGGGTTTCTATTTCTCGAATCCCACCCTCACAGTGACACACTTCCTCCAATAACGCCACACCTCCTAATGGTTCCACTCCCTTTGGGGGTCATTTTCTTTAAAACCACCAGAAGAACACCAATATTTTAAAATTATTTTGTAGAAAAGCAAAAGAGGTGTAGCCTGGGAGGGGAGACTCCTCCTTGGACTGAACAGGAATGTGTGGGCAGAAGCAAATAACAAAGAAGAATATTAGAAACACATAAAGAGATGAGAAATAAAATGGGCCCTCTGCTTCATGGGCATTTAAACAATGCTAAGTCAAATTTTACAGAGCATTACTACGTTGTTCATCTTGATACAGGATCTTAAGGTGTAGTCCAGGCTGGCCCTAAACTCATGTCTACCCTCCCGCCTCAGCCTCCCTATCGCTGGAACTACAGGCACATGCCACCATACTAGTCAGAGTTTTAAAGCACACAGCAAATAAGTAGCCACCTTTAGCCTCATAAGACATGCTATAATTCGTACTGATTGGCAGATGATGACGGGCATTCAGAAAAGGAACCAACCAAGGTAGCAGCAGCCAAGATTTCTATCACCTCCAGTCCACTGGAGGGTATGCACAGCCTACCCCTTCTGCATGCTGGACGGTCAGCTAAAGTCACTTACTGGCTTGTCTGCTCTATTATTTTGGGGACAGGCTCTGATTTGAGTTGGCTCCTCTTGAAGGGCTCTCACTTCAGGACTCACACCTCCCCTCATAGCTCTCCCTGGAGCCAAGTTTCTCCACTTCTGGGAACTGGCCTTGTAGTAGTGAAGGACTGCTGACAAGAGACTACTATTACCCTAATTAAGGAGGCTCACTGTTCTTCCAGAAAACCTTATCCAGGAATGCCCTCAGGACCTTTAAAATAGCCTCTTCAGTCAGAAAGTCAGCTGACCTAGGGCCAATTTCCTCCAGGCACAACACTTCCCCCTACTCTCAGAGGGAGCAGAGTGTGCTCTCTACAGACTGGGTTGCTTCGTGGTTAATAAACACTCTGCCTCCATGTCTGTCAGATCTCTTTCTCCCGAAAACCCAACACCAATACTAACTACAGAGCAATCTAAGCCTT